GCTCTAATGCACACCAGCACACCAGTATAGGTGTGTGTATTGTAGGAGCTAGACGACGTATGATGACGTGTGACGGCATAGTAGTGGTGTCCCAATTCTTAGGGGAATATTTTCACCCCTACCCCTTGACACTCTGTTTCAAGGGACAAGGGGGAGGGGAAGGGGAAGGGGTATAAAATAGAATTGGGATTGGGCCTTAATGTATTAAACTAGCATGAACAAACAATGAACAATACATTTATTACAATATTAATCTTTGTTAATATTAGTTAAAGGGGTCATATGATGCTGCTAAAAAGAACATTATTTTCCCCTTTAATAAAAATACAGTTGTTCATTGTTCATGTTAATTCACAGTGCATTAACTAATGTTAACAAGCACAACTTTTGTTTTTTAATAATGCATTAGTAAATGTTGAAATTAAAATGAACTAAGATCAATAAATGCTGTGGAAGTATTGTTCATGCTTAGTTCATGTTAACTAAAGTAGTTAACTAATGGTAACTAATGAACTTTATTGTAAAGTATGTTTCTCCTACAGTTTCAATCAATCAGATTTCAGAGGCATAACAAATTAATTTATTTAGTTAGTTATTGTGCTCCTCCTAACTGAAATGAGTTAATAACACACTCACACTGGACATGAATGGATATGCTTATGCTGAGAAATTTTTTTTTCTTCCTTCCTGTTTTGCTGAAACCAACACACCTCATAAGAACAGCTCATTCTGACCCAGAACCAAATATTACTCACATATATATCCGCAGGTGGCCGTTTGAACTCTGACTTGGTTACTTATTCATATTTTATTTTCTTTCAAGACACTGAGCAAGCACTGACTGTGCTACAAGCAGACGGTAAACTATTCAGCCGGCCTTGGCCGCTCCTTATTACTCTGTGCGAGTGCATTTTCACTGCCAAGATAGACTGATATGTCTGCTGAAACGGTCTGTTGGATTTTACTTCAGCTGCCTGTCCTCTAATGTTCAAACCTGCTTTTGAAAGGTCAATGAAGTCTTTGCGAAGTTGCCATCTGCTTTGTCGTGAAGGTGCCGTTGTCTCTGTCATGTTCTCAGGGTCTTTCAGCGAGTGGTGTCCATGTATAATTGATCATGACTTTTAAACTGTATACACAGACGCTTAATCATGAGCAAGGTTGAGTCATGCCGGGCACAGCCACACACTCAGCCGCCATTCACTGACTGAAAAACATGAGTTTCTTAAAGGGACACATCTGACTTTCTCTGCGCTCTTCTGCTTCACAGGGATTTTTAAGTAAGCGACTGAAAGGATCCATCAAAAGGACGAAGAGTCAAACAAAGCTGGACCGCAACACAAGTTTTAGACTCCCGTCGCTACGACCAACAGAAAATGACAGGTACAACTTACGCATCTTTGATTCTCATGAATGTATTCAGAGGGAATTTTGACTGAACCTCACTGAATTTCCTTCAGTATTTTTTTGTCTCTGCCCAGAATTTAAAGGGGTCATATGATGCTTTTTTAAAGATCATTATTTTGTGTATTTGGTGTAACAGAATATGTTGACATGCTTTAATGTTCAAAAAAGACATTATTTTTCAAATGCTGTACATTATTGTAAGTCCTATATGCCCCTCCTCTCTCAAACGCTTCGTTTTCTACAAAGTCCCTCCTTCCGACAAGCGCAGTCTGCTCTGATTGGCCAGCTAACCCAGTGCATTGTGATTGGCCAATCAGATGAACATTTGGGTGGCATTATGCAAATATTTCCATATAGTGTGGTAGATATGTGGGGGCGTGTTAGAATGAGCCGTTTTAGGGGGGCGTGGCAGAGTCTTAACTTTGATAAAGAATATCTCTTTGGTTTTGAGACTTTAGTCTTTGCAACTTCAGGGATCTTATCTATGCACAATCAGCTTGTAACACTCCAAAGAGAAAGGAAAACTTGAAATCGCATCATATGACCCCTTTAAGAGACAGATGTGTGTTTATCTTTAAGATGATAAGTTCAAAGCCATTTTTATTTCATTTTACACTGATTGAATAGATATATTTGAATGGATTATGTTTTATACTGACCTTTTATAGGTAAAGTGATAGTTATACATTTTATTCACTTTTCTTTAATTATAAGCAGCTATTCAAAAAAAAGGTTTTGGGTGCTTATATAACAAGGCCAAAAATTCTGCTTAAATTCTTGCTTGTCTTATAGAGAGCAGCTGGTTGGAAAATATGCTGTGCTGGGATCTGGCATAGCATGAGATCTGTTTTAAAAGAAATTTTAAACCTTTCAGGCAGTCTGACAGCTCTGTGGCAGAACCGTCCCTAACGAAGCTACTGCGTTAAAGCTGCAATTTAAACTGCTCTTACGCTACCAGTCAAAAGTTTGGATTCACTTGACTTCATTTATGTTTGGCATGAGCTCAAAAAACTTTTGACTGCACTTTTTTACTGCCCTCTAGTGGACTGCACTGGCTGTGTGACAAATGGTTTGGCTGCCTAGCAGAGGCCAATTCGCCCCATAACTACCATTTAGTGCTGAAAAATCCTTCTCCATTGACCGACATTTGCCAATTATTTTATTATTATTTTATTTTGTGAGCTGTTGTTGAACCGTTCCTGCATGCCGATGAAAATCTTTCTACTTTAATCACCATCAGAAAGTTCCCATGTTTACTGATAAAATGGAATATATATTTTATTAAACAGACCCCCAAAAAAATTTTCTCCATTGATCGTGTTCTGGGGAAATGGTATTATTTTGGTTTGATTTGCTTTGCCTTTCTTTGGTTTGTTTTCGCAAATAAATGTTTGTTAGACCCAAAAAATCCTTTGTTCATTAATCACCAGTTAACAGTTCCTATTTGTTCTAAACAAAATAATTGTTTTATTTCATTTTATTTTATCTGCCTTTAAGATAATTGGCTTTCTTCAGGTATTATTGACCTCCTTGGTCTAACACTATCCACCCAGCATACACACTTCCAAATGACAACAAACTTTTAATTTTTAAGAATATTTAGATCATGGAAATTAAGTATCAAAATATTAGATACCTTAAAAAACCTGAATAAATAAACATTTAGTAAATATAATGGTCACCAAAAATTATTGAAGTCATGTACATATATTGCGCAATAAGTCGATATATTGGTTATTGCAATAGGCCTAGTCACAGGCCCGAGGGCTGAATTAGGGCTGATTACCTATGGTGACAAACCAGAAGTTGCATTTCCTCCCTTTTTAATTGTGTTAGTTGGAACAGGATGGAGACTTTGGGCTCTGGCTGTGATGTTGCTGGTGGATCTGTTCTCTCTATATACTCTAATGGCCACAGCAGCTGCGGTTAGACTACAGATGAGGAGGAGATGTGATTCTAATCACACTGATTTCTCATGCTGCTCCTTGTGGATTGAGTGCATCTGTTTGTGAGGAGCTCTTGCTCATAAAGTAATTCTGGGAAGGAGTGTGTGAATGTTGTGGGGCATGTGATAGTGTGTCTGTTTCAGTGTGGCCAAGACAGGAACTGCATATGACAGTTTGATTGAGATGAATTACAGCTGAACTCTCAGTAGACATCTGTCGCTGCGTTCACGCATGCACTTACACATGTTTGGGTGCGTTTAAAGGGATAGTTGACCTAAAAATAAAATTATTATTATAATTTAAAAATGTATATACAATACCGTCCAATACCAATCAATTTTGTATGGGGTCGTTTTTTTGTTTGTTTGATTTTTGTTTTTGAAAGTAGTCTCTATGCTCACCAGGGCTGCATTTATTTGATAAAAAAATACAGTAAAAACTGTTATATTGGGAAATATTATTAATATTTTATTATTACTATTTTCTGTTTTAGTATATATTTATTTGTAAATGTAATTTATTTCTGTTATGGCAAAGTTGAATTTTCATCAGCCATTACTCCAATCTTCAGTATTCCAATCTCTAATATGCTGATTTGGTGCTCAAGAAACTTCTATTCTTAAAGTGCCCCTATTATGGGTAATGAAAGGTTCATATTTTGGTTTTGGGAGTCCCCAACAACAGGTTGACATGCATGCAAGGTCAAAAAACACTTTCATTGTCTTATAATGTGCATTTATTTTTACCTTAGTTGCTCAATGACTCTCAAACGATTCGTTCAACGATTCATTTTTCCAAACCCCTCCTTTGCGATTAGGCTGTGTTTTACTCACCCCAGAGCCATCAGGTGTATATGACTTCCTTCTTTCAGGCGAATCCAGTCAGAGTTATATAAAAAATTGTTAAATAAAATCGCCCATCCATTAAAAAAAAGTGTCTCACACGGCTCCGGGGGGTGAACAAAGGCCTCCTGTAGCGAATCGATGCGTTTTTGTAAGAAAAATATCCATATTCAAAACGTAATAATCACTTTAATCTAGCTTGCGCCAATAGTTGTACACGGAAGCAGCTCCGGGAGGATGACGTATGAG